GGGGACAGTCGAGCAGGAAGCCTCCGTGCCCCTCGCTGCCAGGCGTGGAGAGGCCTCCTGACACTCTGGTCACCACGTCCTTGGAAGGAAGTGGCCTCAAGGGCCAAGCCAAACCAGCCCAGTCTGGGAGGCAGCCTGGACCCACCTCCCAAAGCCTTGGAAAGATTCATTCATCCCTGGATTAACAGCTACATGGCGTAAGTGGGGAAAGAGTCAGTGATTTTGAAGATAGAGCCACCAAAATTACCCAGAGTGTAACAGAGAAAAATAAAGAAATAAAAAATAAAGCCTCAGGGACTTCTTAGATGACATCTTTTTTTTTTTTTAGCCAGTCAAATTTAGCAGTGGTGGGGTGGGGGGGTGTGGGGGGGCGGGGTATACCAACTTTAGTGACACTAATGTTAGTAAGTTCTGGTAACCCACTGCCATCGGACCAGCCAAACACAAGTCTTTTTTTTTTTTTTTTTTTTTTTTGTCTTTTTCTTTTTTAGATGACATCTTAATGTGTGTGTATGTGTGTGTGCGTGTGTGTGTGTGTGTGTGTGTGTGCGTGTGTGTGTGTGTTTGTCTTTTGTGACAAGGTCTTACTATGCAGTTCAGGCTGGCCTTGAGCTCACTTTGTAACCCAGGCTGGTCTTGAACTTGCAACAATCCTCCAGCCTCAGCCTCTCAAGTGCTGGGATTACAGGCATGTGCCACCATGCCCAGCTCTCCTTAATCTGTTTTAAATTTTAACTCCAAGGGCAAAATTGACACATTACGGACTTATATATTGCATATCGTTATCTAGTTTGTTTTACATCTTGTTATGCAATCATAAATCTAGTTAATAAGGTTAAAAGTTATAAATTAAGGGTTAGCTCAGTTTGTTGTTTGCTAGGCTATGTTTGATGCTATTGGTACCACTACAGACAAAAGTGACATAATTCTTCTAACACAGCCTTTGGCCCTGACTAAGATTAATTAAGGGTCACAGAAAATACTGAGGCACAGTGCCAAAGAGCCAGGTACTAGGCCAAACAAGCAGCAACTTCTCATTGCCAACAAACTGAAGATCTTCCAACAGACTCAAAAGCCAAAAACCAGGTATACTTGGGAAGATACCCCAGAGAAGTAATCGTCACCTAAGGGTCCTACACACTACCAATAAAGCAACCCACCATAGGCAACTTCCAAGCATCACCCCAGGAATTAAACTAGAATAAGAGAGAAAATGCTTAATCAATATGCAGCCCCAGACATCCAGCTCACCAAGGCAGGGTCAGGGATTTAGCTCAGCAGCGTAAGCGCCTGCCTGCCAAGCAGAAGGTCATGAGTTCAATCCTCAGTACCAAAAAACCCCAAAAAACCTCACCAGTTCACCAAAGGCAAATCCAGGGGGCAATGAGCTGGGACAGTCTGCAAGCCCCCCACCAGGTCTCTCTGAAGCAGTAACAACAAAGCAATTGAATGGGACTCTGAAAAACATGAAGTCAGAAATAATCTGTCAGATAACTACAGAGATTACCAAAATACACACGATGCTCAGTGACATTAGAGCAGACATAGACAAAAAAGATCATCTTAAGAAAATTAGAGAAGATCAGCATAAGAAAGAAATGGAATCTATAAAGCAGATTCAAGCAGATATCCAGGAGAATAAAAACTCCATTGAAAGTATTCAAAGCACTCTGATTGATGTGTTTTGAAATTTTGTTGTAATCTTCTTCTTCTTTTTTTCCTTGAAATAAAATGGATTTTAATGAAATAAAGTATTTGAAGCAAATTAGGCCAATGTGAGGACAGGATCGCAGGGTCTCAGATATTGAAGACAGGCTTGTAGTTAGAGACCAGGAAAAGAAAAATATCTCAAAAATATCAAAGGACCATGAGAAATCAATCCAGCAGCTTCAAGATGAGACAAAGAAGAATAACTTGGGGCTGGGGATTTAGCTCAGCGGCATAAGTGCCTGCCTTGCAAACAGGCAGTCGTGAGTTCGATCCCTGGTACCAATAAAAAGGAAAAAGACCAAAAAAAAAAAAAAAAAAAAAAAAGAATAACTTAACATTAATTGCAGTCAGTTAACAAACAGGAGATAACACAAATAACATTTTTTTTTGTCTTTTTCTTTTTTTATCAGTCCTGGGAATTGAACTCACAACCGCCTGCTTGCAAGGCAGGTGCTTGTGCCGCTGAGCTAAATCCCCAGGCCCTACAAATAACATTTTTTAAATGTTCACAGACATCATGACAGAAAATCTTCCTGTTAGAGAAAAAGAATTTGGGGGCTGGGGATTTAGCTCAGCGGCATAAAAACCTGCCTTGCAAGCAGGCAGTCGTGTGAGTTCGATCCCCGGTACTGATTAAAAAAAAAAAAAAAAGAAAGAAAGAAAAAAAATTGACATCCTGATAAATGAGGCATGTAGAACTCCAATTAGCAATGATAAAAAAAATCTACAGCCTGACATATCAGAGTCTAGATTCCAGAAATTCAACACAAGAATAGAATCCTAAAAGCTTTTAGAGAAAAGAAACAAATCACCTATAAAGAACATAAGAATTATAGCTGATTTCCAGCACAAACTCTAAAGTCAGAAAAAACTTGGAGTGAAGAACTCTAAGTTCTAAAGGAAAACAACTTCCAACCCAGGTTGATGTACCCCACAAAACTATCTTTCCAAATTATTGAGAAACAAAGACCATCTGAGGAAATTTATGACCACCAAACCATCACTCCAAAATATTCTGAAGGACATTCTAGAAAGAGATAATAAGGACGACAGCTCCATGAACTGCAACAGAAGGAACCCTCCAGAGAAGGCAAACGGTTAGAGGAAGCGGGGAAAGAAGGGAGAGCACCAACAATAGGAAAGTAACACGACAAGGATAAGGCGACACATTTCAGCTGTCACTGTTAACGGTCTTGATTCACCAGTCAAAAGACATGGACTGGCAGAATGCATCAAGAAGCAAGATCCAACAATATGCTGCATACACGAAACACATTTAATTTAAAAAAGAAAAAGATTCACAGACTGAAAGTCTATGATGGAAACAATACTCCATGGAACAGGAACCCAGAAAAAAAAAGGGTAACTATTCTATTTGCAGACAAAATGAATTTCAAGCAAAGAGTGATTAACACAGATAAAGAAGGTCACTATATCCTTATAAAGGGAGCAATTCAAGAGGAAGAGACAACAATCATAAATATAGATGCAACAAATACCAGGGCACCCAACTATGTAGCCCAGGCTGGCCTTGAACTCACAGTGATCCTCCTGCCTGTGCCTCCTGAGTGCTGGATGACAGGTGTGTGCCACCACACCCAGCTCGCATGTGTGTATTTTTATATACCAGCAACACAGACAGTGGATATTAAAAAAAGATCAACTCCACTTGCTAGGCCCGGCGATGCTCCTCGGGAGGTGATTTCAAGGCAAGTCTGGGCAGCACAGAAAAAGCCACAGACAATGTAGGTGTGGATCAGAGTGGCTGCCTGTGCTCTAACAAACTTCTAACTACATAGCAGGGGATGTATACTGTCCCCTGATATACAGAGGACAGAATAGACCACAGAAACACACAATTCTAAGTCAAAAGATTAATTAATATTTTGCTTGGGAGGCTGAGGGAGAAAGATTGTAAATTTGAGGCTTGCTGGACTACATAGTAAGACCTTGTCTTCTACCTCCTCAAAAAAAAAAAAATTGCAATTCAAACAGAGAAAGGATAGACTTTTCAATAAACAGTACTGTAACAACGTAACAACAGACCTGGCTTAAAAGAACTTTTTCATGATATCTAAAACCCCAAAATATGCTGGCCATGGTGGTGCATTGCCTATAACTGCAGCACTTGGGAGACTGAGGCAGGTGGATGGTTGCAAGCAGAGGCTGGCCTGTACTATATAACGAATTCCAGACCAGCCACAGTAGCATGGACCCTTGACTTATGGACTCAACTTCTTTGTATGGGCTGGTTGTAAATCCAGTTGGTTGTAAATCAAGACTATTTTTCCATAAGAAATAATGGAACACTCATAAGGCATTCCAAACCTCCCAAAGCACCCCTTAATTAACCTTTTCATAATAAAAAGGGTTGTATAATGTATTTTACCAGAAATACCAATAATTTTCTTAGTGTATTCACCAAAAAGTTATACAATGTGCCCTGTTTATCACAATGATTTCATACTGTTCTCACCATTCAGGTTTGTCTGGCTTGTAGGAAGGGCAGATGACATGGAAGGTGGTTATTGTTTGCAAGCAGATCCCCTTCCATAAGAGCATTGGAAATCCAGCTCTTTGCCGCCCTTCTTCTCCTTGGGAGAGTTTGTGGCCCACTAGGACCTGCTTCTGGCTCACTCGGTCTACAAACTGGTCTAAAGCGTGTGCTTCTGTCTTTAACACTGTTCTTTTCTGGTGTGGTTGCTTTCTTTCCTTTCCCTTAGCTGCTTTCCCAACTTTTTGGGGGCCATTCTGATAGCAGTCATTGCAGTGATATATAAAGCACTGCCTGAAATCATGTCCACAAACACACGCATTGGGATCAGGCTGATGCTTACGTAGGCTCACATAAGCTTTTCTAGCATCTTGAGTCTTTATTTACTGTCACACACAAGCACCCAGCATTTGGGTCATAACTCAAGAGTTTGGCTGTAAATTAAAACTAAAACTCAGGTCATAACCCAAGTTGCTCGTATGCCAGCCTGCTGTCAATAACTCCAGTGTACATAGTAAGACCCTGTCCCAAAAAACAAAAACCCAGAAACAACATTATGTGCCTGTAGCTGATGAATGGACAATCTAAGGTACACTCATTCAATGGAATTCTACGTAACGTTGAAAAGGAACAGACTATTGACGCATGCACAACACGGATGAATCTTAAATAAAAAATAATTTTAAAAAATGGATGAATCTTAAAAACGTTATGTGAGCTAAAAGAAATGAGGCACAGAAGATCACATAATGTGTGATTACATTCTGCGAATATAAAATTCCAGAAAAGGCAGAATCACGGACATGGAGGGCAAACGAGTTGTTGCCTGGGACGGAGACCGGAGGGGAGTGACTGATTAATTAGAGGCCATGAGGGAGGGGAGAGGCCACTGGACCTCACACCATGATTGCGGTGTTGGGTACACGTCTATATACATTTGTCAAAACATGCTGAACTATAAACTTTAAGCTGGTGAATTGTATTGCATGAAAATACACCTCAGTGAAGGAGCAAAAAAGATTCCCACAAGTAGGCTAACTGCTTGTCTCCTCCGCCCTCAGCACGCATACATTTGTGGTCCTTTACTAGCATTTTATTTTAAAGTTCTAGTCTGGTGTGATGGCACATGCCTGAAATCCCAGCTCTCCAGGAAACTGAGGCAGGAGGATCACAAGTCTGAACACAGCCTGCGTATCTGAGTGCCTTAGAGAGACTCAGTCTCCAAAAATAAAAAGGCCTGGGGATGCCCCACTAGGCCGCTGGGGATAGAATCCAGGCCTTTGCACACGTGCAGTATCACTGAGTTACAGCCGGCCCTCTGTCATGCTGTTTGTTCAAAGTGTTATTGTAGCTGAGCGGGGAAAGATGGGAATTTGATCTTTAGAACTGTCTTCTAGGAACCCGAGAGGCAACAGAAGTTAGATGCTTGCATGGAAGGTATAAAAAGGGAGAAAGGATGAGGGGGACAGGGTAGGGTGCACCTGCGCAGGCTGCACAGGGCCTTGGCTTTGACCACTAGCACTGAAAACACGGAAGGGAAGCCAGACGTGAGCATTGTGCTTCCTGGAGGAGGCCCATAACCACCTGCTAGTCAGTCAGCAAGCACTGCAAGTACAAGCACATTATGTTTTCCAGAGAACAACCCAAACAAGGACCCAAGGCCATCAGATGTCTAAAGAGGAGTGTCCAGGAGTCCAGGCTGGGTTTAGGACCCGGTCACGAGCCCGAATGGCATGTTCTTCTCTTTAGATGACCTCTTCGGGGAGAACCAGGACAGGGAGTGTGTCTGGGGCCGTCAGTGAGATTGTTTTCCAGCCTGATGTCTATGTGTAATGAGGTAGTAACTGCAATACTTGAAAACTGCCTAAGTCCCGGCTCCACACTGAGTGCAGCCTGAGCCGCATTCCTTAGAGCAGCAGAGCTGGAATAGGGATTGGGAGGTGTGTCAGATAGAGTGACTTCTGCTCAGTCTGCCTCTTGATACAAGGCTGTTGGACTTTGCCCGGAAACTTGTGTTAAATCAAGTTTGTATGGTGCAGTGCTGGGCCTGGGGTTGGGTCTGGGCAGGGGGCTCTTGAGGCCCTGGGTCGGGTCTCTAGCACCCTGGGGCGGTTCACTGCGAGCTCTAGCACCGACACCGAACTTGGCCTTGCTCTCTCCCACCTCGGGCCAGATGTCACGGCGAGCCCACCATGATGTCATCCTCACCGCCACTGCAGGTGAACAGAGAGGGAGGGAAGGGTGGGTGCCAGAAGCTGAGAGCTTAGGGAACCCACAGTGGGGGCTGGGCACGAGCGAATGGGAGGATGTGTGCAAGCTGGAGCCTGAGAGGAGTGTGGGTGTGAGAGGGACAGAGGGAGAAAGACCTGACGGCCCGAGAAGCCTCCAGTCTCCTTGGGTTGCAGTGCATCTAGGCCTGGGTGTCACCTCCTGCAGTGTGGGGGGCCTGGTGCTGTGCTCAACCTGAGCCACTGTACCTGGCACCCCAGGTAAGAAGCACCCCCTCGCCAGGCTTGGTGACACACTCCTGTAATCCCAGCACTCGGGAGGCTGAGGTGGGTGGATTGTTGCATATTCGAGACCAGCCTGGGCTATAAAGTAAGCCCAAGGCCAGGCTGAACTGCATAGTGAGACCCTGTCTCAAAAAGACAAATAAATAAATAAATAAATGAAGCCCCTCCTCCCCAGCCTCTCTTTCTTTTTCCAGGGAAGAAACCCCTCCTAGTCACCCGCACAGAAACGAGAGGGGAGAAAATCACATCTCTCCTTCCCTCGCCCTCTCAAATGCCACTTATGGCAGGAACTTCTCCAGGTCTCGGTGCAACTTTCCCAGAGAGCCACTGGGGGAGGGGTGGGCAGCGGTGTCCTGATCTGCTGTCCTGGGTTGCTGGGTCACTGGGCTCCGGCTGCCTCCTGCAGACTGAACCGCCCCTGAGTCTTGTACCCCACACTCACGGGCTCCCGCCTTCTCTCCTGGAATAGCACACAGGTCAGTCTTTGCTGAGCCTCCAAGAAGGAGTTGCAGCCTTGGACTTTAATATTCTTTAATATTCAGAGTGCATGCCTAGCCTGTGGGAGGGCCTGGGTTCCATCCCCAGCACCACTCGGACAGGGAAAGCGGAGGGCAGGGACCCGTCTGTTAATGCATCTTTTGCTTCCTTTCTATGAGCCAAGGTCTGGAACTCAGGATCCTCCTGAGTCAGCCCCCCCGAGCTGCAGGAGCGGAGGAGACGGAGGACATGCGTGCCACCACACCCAGCCCTTTACACCTTCATCTTTCTCCTTCCTCTTTTGTTTTCCTTTCAGTTAATAAATCCGTGTTGAGCAACTACTTTGTGTCACGTACTGACTGGTACCAGTGACATTTCCGTGACCAAAACAAATCCATGTTTGTGTCTTCATCTGTTATATTTGGCTTTTAAAAGCTAAATATTTTCTCTTCTCTGCCTTCACTCTCAGGGAAGATCTTTGTGCTTAAAAGTAAGCTCAAATGGCAAAGATACTGGAAGGGATGTATTATCACTGGTGGCTTTATTGGTGGCTATAAAGGCCTTTTGTTTTCTCTAGTTTCCAAAGTTTCAATATCTGTCGTTTTTGTAAAGAAACAGCCATGTCACCTTGGTGACGCATTCCTGTCATCCCGCCCTCTGGGAGGCTGAGGTAGGAGGATCTCAGATTCAACCCCATCCTAACAGTTGAGTGACCTGGTGAGATTCTATCTCAAAAATTAAAAAAATGATAATTAATAAAAGGCTAAAGATATAGCTCAGTGCAAAGACCCTAGGCTCCATCCCTAGAAGGAAAGGAAGAAATTAAAGTATTTATTAGAAATCCCTAGTTTAAATATTCCCTCTTCAAGGGCCAGCCTTGTCTCCGGCAGGACCCAGAGGCGGTCCTGTCTGTCCCTCTCCTAGGCTTCGAGCTGGGGAGCTCGGCCCTTGTCTTCCTTGTTTGCGAACCCCAGCCTGCAACAGGATGTTGGGCTCCCCGGGGAGCTCACGAGCTGCCTGTCCAGTGGAAGGAGGAATGGGACGATCAAGTCACAGCCTCAGGCCTGGGAAACAAGGGCGAGGTCTGGGTGAGGCCTGTGGTGGCCAGGGAGGCAGGGGCTGGGGCCCGGTGGTGACATGGAGCCTCCTGAGGACCAGCCAGGCCAGGCCTGGCAGAATCACTTGGTGCTGAATTCCTTGAGCTTGAGTTCTCTCTTCCTCCTCCTCCTCCTCTTCCTCCTTCTTTCTTCCTGTTCATTTTTAGTGTGTGCAGACTGGTGAGTTTCCTTTTGAAATGTTCTTACATGCATGTAACAGACGCTGCTCCTTCCCCCGCCAGCCCCTTCCTCTTTTCTCCCCTCTCCTGACTCCCTTCCTCTTCTCTAAGTCTCCCTTCTACTTTCACACAGCCTCTCATTTGTTAAAAAAAATTCCCCAGATTCCTCACATGACAGTAAATGTGAAATCTGACTTTCTGAGTCTGGCTTATTTTACTTAATGTGATGGCCTCCTGTTCCATCCATTTTTTGCTGCAAATGACAAGGTTTTGTTCTTCCTGGCTGAATCACACTCCATTGTTTATATTTACCATATTTTCTTTGTATTTTCATCTGTCGATGGCCACCTTACCTACGGTAAATTGCGCTGCAGTAAGTGTGGTTATGTAAGTGTCTACCTTGTATGCAGACTGCAGTTCTTTTTTTTTTTTTTTTTTTTTTTTTTTGTCTTTTTCATTTTTATCGGTACCGGGGATCGAACTCACAACCGCCTGCTTACAAGGCAGGTGCTTATGCCGCTGAGCTAAATCCCCAGCCCAGTCTTTCCGGGATGTGCTGAAGAACGGTAGGGCCAGATCAAACGACAGCTCTAGCTTCAGTATTTTGAGGAATTCCACACAGACTACACTGCATCTAGCCCTGTATGCCACCTTCTTCAGTGTGGAGTTTTGTCCTTCTTCAACTCCAGTCCCTGCCAGCAATTTTTGCCCCTAGCCCTAGGGATTGAACCCAAGGCCTTCACACTGACTTACATCTCCAGTCCATATTTTTTCTTTTGATGTAGGATCTCGCTAAGTTAGACTTGAACTTGTGATCCTCCTGCCTCAGCCTCCTAAGACACTGATTGCGGGTGCCTGCCATCACCCCTGGCAAGCATGGCTGCAGCTGATTGGTGTCATCCTCCTGCTCCTAGAAATTTCTCCTTCCCCTCCTCTTCCTCCTCCTCCTCCTTTGTTTTGAGACAGGGCCTCACTATGTAGTCCAGTCCGGGCTTGAACCACTATGTAGCCCAGGATGGCCTTGAATTTACAGAGATTCTCCTGCCTCATTCTCCTGAGTGCTGTGCCACCATGCCTGGCAATACAGCTTCTCTTAGCTTCTTTCCTGTATAGATGAGGTGAGAGGGCGTCACCTCCTGGAGTACAGCTGGAATTCAGTAACCCCGGGTGGGCACTATTGCCGGCTAACATTACCTACTGATTTATTCACTGTTTTGTTTTGTGCCACCCCTCTTTGGCGTGTGCATGCTCCGAGAACAAGGATCTTATCTGACCATGTCATGAGGGCTCCCACCACTGCCTGGCACATAGATGGCACTCAGTAAATTTTTGTTGAATGAACTCACTCTAAACTGAACTCTTGAGGGAGAACCCAGATGCAGCATTTTTCATTCATTCTGTAAAATATAATTCACAATAGTCTGAAGAAGTGTCTGTCAGCACATTCTTCAGTCTGTGGGAAGTTGTACTTAGAAGCCCAGCCCAGATTCAAGTGACCCTGGGTAAATCCAGGGTTGGGCTGAGGGACGTGGAAGAGCTGGAGAGACTGCTGGCAAGCGGTGGCACCCCAGTGAGTCATGCTTTCCCACACGGGGACCCTGCCTTACAGGGCTGGCATCGCTTCCCCGTCCCCGGGGGAGAACACAGCTCCCTGTCCGCTCCCACTCGGCTCTCCAGCTCCTTGTCGGCCTCCGCACCTCAGTGCCGGCTGCCTGACCTCAGGTTACGGTGTCCAGAATCACACAGTGTCCCTTACTGGTTACATTTTCCACTGTGACTTCTCAGGGAGGTTTTGGTAACAGTTGCACATATCCTGCTTGAGATAAGCAATCCTAGGCCACACATACATCAAGGCCAGAATCATCTGTTACTGTACCTCGATTTCTCATCTGCAGAAACAAATAATGACACCCTCTTGTTCTAGCCCCCCACAGTGCTGCTAAGCAAAGGAACAAAGGAACAGAGGTTCAAAAGTGATTTAGGGTGGGGGTGTGGCTCAGTTGTAGACCTCGTGCTGAGCAGCTCAAGGCTCTGGGTTTCATCCTCAGCAAAGAAAACAAACAAACAAAAACCCCCAGATTTAATTCATATTTAAAATTCTATAACAGAGTTGCTACTTAGCTATACGATATTAAGTCATTTTGTAAAATGCTTAGCCTAGCATCGGGTTCTTAATAACCAATCAGAAAATACTTATTATTTATTAAATGACTCTATTACCATGGGATGAGGTGAGAGAGATACCTCCTCACTTTCCCAAGGAGCACGCTCGGGAAAAAACAGTTGGTTGCTTTTTAAGTATTTATTTATCTACGCAGTACAGGATATTGAACCCGCCCAGGGTTTCACAGCAGCTGGGGTTGTGCTCTTCTAGTGAGCTACACCCAGCCTTTTTTATTTTATGGTTTTAAGACAGGGTCTCTCTCCATTGCCCAGGCTGACTTCACCCTCAAGACCCTTCTGCCTCAGCCTCCTGAGTAGCTGAGATTACAGGAGTGCAGTACTTTACTTTTTAGGTAACTATTATGCTTTTTTGTTTTAGTGAGTGCGATATACAAATGGGACGGTGGCTGAGTGGAAGAAAGAGAATCTCTAAGGTTAGTTAGGGAAAGAGAAAGGGCGAGCAGCCCCATGGAAACAAGGAGAAAACTTCTAGAAGCAGAACAGGTCCAGCCAGTCAGATGAGGGAGAGCTAATTAAATTGAATATGATGTAATTCTTTTCTCCATCTTCCCACGAAAACTTTAGTAAAAAAAATAATTACTCACACTGCTTCTGATTTAGATGTATAGAGGAGGTTTAAGCAAAGTACTCAGGCTGGCCCTGAGGTGTAGGGAGTGAGAGCTTAGATCAATCACTTCCTGGCTCTATGACTGATTTAAAACTGGGAGATGAATTAAGTGAACTCAGAATGACCTCTTCTGTCTCTACTATTTTATGGTTCTACCTGGGGAAGAGGTAGAGTGTTGCGGGGAAACTCTCATGTAGTAGATGAGAGTTGGCATGAGGATCTTCATCTAAAACAATTTCCCCAAATGACTGATGTGCACCAAACTTTGAGCCTTGTACTCATGGCTATCATACTCTAGAGCAGGCTTTAATTATCTAGAGAGAAAACACCCTCTTCCTAGCACACAATACTGCTGACAACAGCAGCTGGGGTGTGTTTGGAGAATGTGAGCTCCCATTAACACCACTCAGAGCAAAGCACATCTGCAAAAAAAAGTTTTGGGTTTGGGGCTGTAGCTCAGTAGTAATCACTTACCTATAGTATGCACAAGGCCCCGGGTTCAATCAACTACAAAAAAAGAAAGGAAGAAAGAAACAGAGGAAAAAACAAAGGAAGAAAAAAAAAAAAAAAAACAAAGGAAGGAAGGAAGGAAAGGAGAGAGAGAGAGAGAGGAAAAACAGAATATTTCATTAGAGAAAAAGAAAATCAGGTGTAGCAGTACACACCTGTAACCCCAGAATTCTGAGAGGCTGAGGCACATAAATCACAAGTTCAAGCCCACCTGGGAAATTTAGCAATTTAGTGAGATCCTGTCTCAAAATAAAGTATTTTAAAAGGCCTGGGACACAGCTTGCTACAAAGATTCCATCAATGCAGCTCTCAGCACAAAGGCTCTAAACCCAGTATTACCAAAAAAAAAAACAAAAACAAAAACAAAGGTTTCAGCAAATGATTCTGATGCAGCTGTGTATCCACATGCAGAGTGAAGTTGGGCCTTTATTCACACATTTTTTAAGAAAGTAATTAAAAATGGCCCAAAGACTTAAATGTAGGAACTAAAACCATAAAACTTTCTCTTTCTTTCTTTCTTTCTTTCTTTCTTTCTTTCTTTCTTTCTTTCTTTCTTTCCTTCTTTCTTTGACACAGGGTTTCATTATGTAGTTCTGGCTGGCACTGAACTCACTATGCAGCGCAGGTTGGCCTTAAACTTGCAGTAATCCGTCTGCCTCAGCCTGGCAGTGCTGGGATTACAGGTGTGTACTACCAGGTCAGGCCTAAAATCATAAAACTCTCATATGAAAACATAGGAATAGCTGGGTGTGGTGGCTCATGCCTGTAATCTCAGCACTCGGGAGGCTGAGGCAGGAGGATCGTTGTGAGTTCGATACCACCCTGGGCTGCAAAGTGAGCTCAAGGCCAGCCTGAACTGCCTAGGGAGACCCTGTCTCAAAAAGACCCCTCCCCCCAAAAAAAAGAAAAGAAATGATGAAAACACAGGAATAACCCTCCTTTGTTTTTACTTTGTTTTAAGCAATGAGATTTTAGATAAGTGCAAGTGACCAAAATAAATAGAATATATAAATCAGGATAAATTGGACTGCCACAATTGAAAATTTATGATTCTCGGGAGAGCATCAGGAAAGTGAAAAGTCTTTGAAAAGTTGAGGCAGGAAGATTACAAATTTGAGCCCTATCTGGCAACATTTTATCTTAGTGAGACACTGTCTCAAACTTAAAAACAAAAATAACAGTTTTTAAAAGGCTGGGGATGTAGCTCAGTGTGGAGGCTCTCTGTTCAATCCCAAATTCCCGCCCCCCAAAAAAGTGAAAAGATAATCCATAGAACGGAGAAAATCTTTGCACATCACGCGTCTGATCAGGGGCTTACATTCAGCGTACATACATAACTCTTACAAATTCAAAATGGAGAATATATTTGAATATGTATTTCTCCAAAACATACAGGTGGCTGCTAAGCACAGGAAGAGATGGTCAGCAGCACTGACCGTCAGGAAGTGCAAATGGAACCCACAGTGAGCTGTCTTCACCTCCACAAGGGTGGCTAAAAGCAGAAAAAACAGTCATGAACGTTCTTGAGGATGAAGAGAAACTGGGATGCTCAAAGACTGCTGGGAGGAACTGAGAATGGCGCGGGTACCTTGGACAGGAGTTGGACGGTGCCCCAAAAAGTTAAACATGAAGTCAGCAAGTCACTTGGCAGTTCCAGTGGGGGGATGCACCCCAGGCAACTGAACCGGTGGGGTCCCTGAAAACCGAACACAGTATTCACAGCAGCATAACCCAAAGGTGGAAACAGTCAAATATACAATAATGTGGACCAGATAAACACACTGTCCATATACAGGAATTATTATTCACAAGAAGAAATGACTACTGACTCATGCTCCAACATGGGTGGCCCCAGAAACATAGAAATGGAAGAAGACAGTCACAGAAGGCTGCCTATTATATGCTTCCATTTGTATGAAATACCCTGAATAGACAATGCATAGAAATAGACCAGCAGTTACCAGCTGTGTGAAGAGGGGGTAGGTGCAAATGGTTAGTTTTTTTTTTTTTAGATCAATGAACATATTGTAAAATAAATTGACTGTTAATTGTTGCAGTTTTTTGACTAGCTTAAAAAAAAACAAAAAAAAAGTCACTGAATTGCATATTCATTGTTGTTGTTTTGAGACAGGTCTTGCTATGTACCCCAGGCCTTGAATTTGTGGAGACTGTCCTGCTTCAGCCTCACATGTTCTGGGATTGCAGGGGTGCAGCACTATGCCTGGTTGTATACTTGCAGGATGACTTTTACGGCAGTCATTATATCAAATAAAGATGTTGTTGAAATGCTGCATAGAAACACCAGCACTACAGAAAAATTTAACAAAAATTCAAAGTATTTTTGCTGGGAGTGGTGGCCCATCTTGTAATCCCAGGACTCTGGGGAGGACCACTGTTAGTCAGGACCTCTTTCTCAAGTAATAGAATCTAGTCAAAGTGGTTTAATTAGAGAATAGAATGTTTGGGCTCACAGACCTGAGAATTAAGGGGCTGTTGGCTTTAGCCAGAGCTCAACTGAGCGGCTCAAATGTTGAAGTCTGAACATCCCTCTCTTGCCGTCCCTTTGTGCTGGCTGTGCTACCAGATGGCCTCTACTGCCCTCAGGATTGTATTCTTCCAGTGCAGCAGGGTAAAAAGTTTTTCTCTGTCTAAATCTGGGATTAGACTTTAACTCTCTTGGCCTAGGGAGACAGAACAGACCTAAAACGAATGAATTAAGATGTTAGGTTTTTGGTGTAGGATCTCAGAATGTAGTCTAGGCTGGCCTTGAGTTCTCTGTATAACCCAGGCTGGCCTCGAGCTCACACTGATCCTCCTGCCTCAGCTGCTTGAAGATGGGATTATAGACATTTGCTATTACACCCAAGGTGTGGTATATACATGTACCAACTCCCATAAATGATAAATGTAGACATGTGTACTGTAAACATATACCAATAAAAATAAAAACTAAAACAATTTCTCCCGGCCTGAGTTGTCTACAGCCAAGGGAATGTGATACCCTCCCTTCTTACCCTCATGGGCTAGACCTTAGGGTAAGAAACAAATTATATCTAGTTAAGAGTTGATGCTATAAATGTCAAAATGAGTTACTTAACTTGGTGTAGTGGCCCAAGCTGGTAATTCCAGTATTCTGGGAGGCTGAGGCAGGAGGATTGCTAAAAAAAAACAAATCAAAACAAAACAAAAAACCCCGAGCCTGTAGCTCAGAGCAAAGCCTCTGGATTCAATCCCCAGTACAACAAAAACACAAACAAAAGCCTGGAGTGTTCTGGAAAAGAAAGGTGAGTATACTTGGAACCAACAGTGATTTACTTAGGACATACGTAGGCTGACCTTCAACCGATCTTCTTGTCTCAGCCTCCAAGAGCTAGGACTGCAGGCTGGAGGTCAGTCTGAGAACCCGGTGAGATCCTGAGTTAAAAGAAAATACAAATGGCCAGGGGTGTAGCTCAGTGGTAGAGGCCTTTCATGGCACATGTGAGCCCCTGGACACATGTGAGCTCCCCAGGACTGCCAAAATATGATTAATAAGTGTAAAAATAAAATAAAAATGAAAAATAAATGTAAAAATAAAATAAAAATTACAAGTCGTACACACCTGTCATCGCAGCACACTGTGAGAGGCTGGCCTAGGCTATTTAGCTTCTTAGTGAAAGCCTATCTCAAATAAATAAAAAATAAAAAGCTCACTGTCTCAGTTAGAGGGCCTAGCTTCAATTCCCAGTACAGGAAGGAAAGGGAGAGGGGAGGGCCAGGGGAAGGGAGGGAGAGGAGGGGGGAGTAAGAAAGATTGTAAAAGTGGCATCAGGTAAAAGCTTGAAACTTTGCATTTCAACTTTTGTAAGTTTCTAGACAAGTTTGATGATATCCTCATCAACCAAAGTTGGGTATTGAGTTATAGATGGAGTTTCAGCGAACTGATGAGCCATTTCCCAAAAAAGCAGGACTAGTAGATCAATGTAGTGGGTGTTGCCGGCCACAGAGATGGGCTCTCAGTCCTGCCCTGGTTTACCTGCTTATCGACTACTTAAGTATAGATAGGGAAATCATCTTCACTAGACTGTCAGAGGGTGCAGGGCCCAAAACATGGAACTTTCTGGATGACAGAAGTAAGATCCAAAACTACTTTTTTCCAATTTTCATTTTGAATACTTTTAAATATTCACAACAGTAGAACTTACAGATGTACCAATCACCTACCTTGAACAGTTTTCAACTCACAGTCTTGTTTTGTCCACTAATGCACCCTCCTTTGTTTTGTTTTATTTAATTTATTTATTTATTTACTTTTAGAGACAGGGTCTCACTATATTGCCCAGGCTGGAGTGCAGCGGCTATTCACAGGCGCGATCCCACTACTGATCAGCACGGCAGTTTTGACCTACTCCGTTTCTGACCTGGGCCGGTTCCCCCTCCTTAGGCAACCTGGTGGCCAATTTTATTTTATTTTATTTTTGGAAGTGGGGATTGCCGCACACTTGCCAGGCAGGCGCTTATGTCCCTGAGCTAAATCCCCAGCCCACCTTCATTTTATTTTGAAGCAAACTGCAAACACTGTATTTTCAAACAACAAAATTCTAACACAAAAAATTTAGTATAAGAATTCCATATCTATAAAAGAAACTTGGTAATTCTTTTTTTTTTTGTCTTTTTCTTTTTTCCTTTTTATCGGTACTGGGATCGAACTCATGACTGCCTGCTTACAAGGCAGGTGTTTATGCCGCTTAGCTAAATCCCCAGCTCCTAAAACTTGGTAATTCTTTACTACCATCAAATATTTATTGTTCAAATTTCCAACTGTCGGGGCTGGGGATTTAGGAGGAGGGGCTGGGGATTTAGCTCAGCAGCGTAAGCACCTGCCTTGCAAGCAGGCGGTCGTGAGTTCGGTATAGCTTCACGTGAGACCAAGAAGAAGGTGGCAGACAAGGAGAGGTTCTCCACAGAGCCCAGACCTGGAATTTGGTCGCCATACTGGCCCCTGTACCAATAAAAATGAAAAAGACAAGAAAAAAAATTTCCAACTGTCTCATAACTAATAAGGTTTCTGTGGCTTGTTTGTTTGTTTGCCTGGCATAGTGGTGCAGGCCTGTATTTCGGGCACTTGAGAAGATAAGAGGATAGGGGTTTGAGGCCAGCCTGGTGGACCCTGCCTCAACACAAACAAAAGCAAGTATTTCTTTAATGGTTTGTTTGTTTTAATGAGTTTCTGAGCAAGGTCTACACATTTCAATGGGTTGGTATGTCATTTAAGCCTCTTTTATTCTGTAAGTTGTCTCTTATTCTCCTGTAATTTATTTCTTAAATAAACATGATGGTAAACTAGGGATAAACAGACGAGACACTAAAGTTAGATCTTTTTTTTTTTTTTTTTTAATCAGTACCAGGGGTTGAACTCACAACCACAACAGGCGCTTTTGCCGCTGAGCTAAATCCCCAGCCCCTAACGTCAGATCTTACAGTCAGCTATGACATGCAATGCAGGAGACTTTACTACAGCCCAAGAAAAACGTCCTAGGCTTTTAGCTGGCCACAAATTTGAAAGAGTCAATGCTATGACACAGTTGATGAAGTCCTAATATACACTTAAGTTACAACCCTGAGCCATGAGCATAATGAGTAACACAGTTTCCTTTCTACTCCAAGTCAAGCCAGGCCTGGGCTGACATGCTACCTTGTGGCTTCTGCACTTTCAGGGGGACTGAAAAACTGGAGGAGCTGAGGTTTTAGCAGAATAAGGAAAGAAAGACCCAGATGCATGCAATTAGAAATGAAAAAGGTAAAATCACAACATACTCTGCCAAAATCCGAAAGATCACTGGTAACTACTTTGATAACCTGTACTCTAATAAAATTGAAGATTCAGAAGAAATGGATAGATTCCTAGATACATATGAACTATCAGAGCTGAACCAAGAAGATATAAAAGTTCTGAATGATCCAGTATCAGTCAATGAAATTGAAAAAGTAATTTTAAAAACTACCAACTAAAAAAAAAAAAACCCTAGGAAAAAATAAAATAAAATGAAAAAGCCCAGGTCCTCAAAATGTGTAATAGGTGTAGGGAAATGGGAAGAAAATGTTCACATGAGAAAGGGGACAAAGGAGGAGTGAGGGGGAAAGGAAGGGAGAGAAAAAAAGGAATAGAAAAAAATGGAAACGAAGCTTTTGTAAATAAATGGGGCAAAGGGGTGAAAGGAAAGGGGGGATGGGAAAAAAAGAAGGTATGTCACATCCAGATGCAAACTCCCTATGATGACTGTGATTGTTACGTTTGTCTAAAATATATCAATAAAATAAGGGAAAAATAAAAGAAAAATTGGAGGACTTACACAAATCCTTATTTGGGTGCAAAAGTATCACAGTGGGGGGTCTTTAGGCCGAGGTGCTGATGGTGAAGGTCCCCTGCAGCACTCACATCCCGGCATCTGGGGTAAAGAACGGGAAAAAAGGTAATGTGTTCGTAAGCGTAGACACACCTGATCTGGTGTGACTGTGCGGCCGTAGCCACGGGGACAGGCGCAGATGGACAGTGCAGAATCGTGGGGTCAGCACATGCAGGAGGCCAGCAGAGGACTGGAAGGCAGCCGAGCGTGTGGGAGTCGGTGGGAAGCAGGGTGCAGCTGCCCCACATCAAGAGGCAGGTGCAGGGTGGAGCCTGAACTGGATCCCAAGGCAGGGCAGGATGCTGGTGCTTACCATGCATCCACGCAGTGCTTTGCGGTGATACTTTGACCCTCACGACAACCCTGCCG